TTTATCCTTTCATGGGCTTTGCGATCAGCCAGGGGGTCTTCAAATCGTCTTCTCAGAGAGGACATGAAACGGTTGAAGTTACTGAGTTCTGGGGCATTGGAGTCATGCAAGTTCACCACCCAATCTGCAGCTGCCCATATTCCTCCATGTAGCTGAGGACTTGGGTTAGGAAAAACCCCAAGCGTGTTGGCTCCCCTTTGAATTTCACCTCCAACGGTGGACGTCTTGGAATGGATTGGTGCCTCCGTTGTTGGTGGTAGTGTCTTCCGTCCAGATTGCCATCTGTGGTCCGGTAGGGGGTGGGGACTACTGGATCAGTAGATGTCCCCGGGGTTGCAGGTTCCACGTCCCCCTCGGTGTCTCTCCCTTTGCGGCTCCAGGAGCTGGGGCGGCCGTAGGGCTCAGGATTCTCCTCTCTTAGGGAGCTGAGAGCTCTCTTCATCAGGTCAATAGCTTTCTCTAGGATCCAGTCTGAGTACGGTGCCCAGCTTTCTCCCTCTTCACCTGCGTGCAGGGATTTCTCCATCTCCTGCTTCCATTCTGGTTGCTTGGGCCCCCGTCTCAGGGTCACCTTTCTTGATTCCTTTCCCCACTCACTTTTCTTTCCAACTCACATTGACCAGCGAGGCTTGTGGTCCCGTGTCTCCACCACTTCTTCTTCTGAGGAATCTGACCTCTCGGATCCCAACATCTGACAAGGTTCCAATTTGGTCAGCGGCTCTCTTTCCAGGGAGTTTTCCCCCTCTCTTGCTCCATTGTCTGACATGGTAAATTTTTGCAAAATCCCCTGGCAAGGGTCTCCCTTCCAGGTGGATTAATTTTGCAAGTCCTGTCTAATGTAAGGACCCACCCCACTTTGCATCTTAAGAAGACAGAACTCTTGGAATAATTCTTCCAACAGGAATCCTTTATTAAGAAGAAGTGGTTGCAGGCGTGCTAGACAGGACTTGGGGTCCAAGCTCTCCCATTCAAGGTTTTAAGGGGTTCCCCAGCAGTCCCACCCAATCACCCCCCCTTCCAGTGATAGTTTCAGGCATCACAATTCCACCCCTTTGTTCCTTTCTTCCGTCTGGATGGAGACTTCAGATAAACTACATGAAAGGTAAATAGCCCCCTTTGTTATGGTAAGGTTCTTTGGTGCTAACTACATTCAAACTCTTTGAGGTTGCAATAAACACATTCAATTCCTTAGAAGTATACTGAAGGAAGTGAGGGCCATAAAGCCCCTTTGTTCTTCCCCTTCTCTCCCTCTTATGGCAGAATCCAGAGAAGGCAGAATTGGGGTTTTCTATATTTGATGATTAAAGATGAAATATAATTGGATTCTGACACTAATTGTTATGTGTGTGGGGACTAACATGGGTGAACAATGACCTTGGAAAGCATGTGAAATAAGTCTTACTGCCCTGGCTAGTCAAAATCTCACTTGGAAAGCCATCAATAGACCCAATATGTGGACTCTGACCACTTCCATAGTGGGAAACTTCTGTTTTAAAAGGGAAGGTTTTGGTAAAGCCCTTGGGGAGCTTAAGTGTGAGCAGTTTTTGCAGGGAAACACTTCAGTGTCCTTTTGGTGGAGTATTACCAACTTGGCCCAACTCCCAAATCCCCTGGCAAACATTCCTCAACTGTCTACTTTATGGACTAATCTTACAGATGCCACTCTCACCTGTACCGCCCCAGATGGACTGTATTGGGTTTGTGGAAAGTTTGCTTATGTTGTCCTCTTAGCCAGGTGGGAGGGATCTTGCATATTAGGTACTATAAAACCCAGTTTCTTTTTACTCCCTATCAAACAAGTGGAAAGGCTAGGTGTACCCTTTTTTGATGAGACTGGATTTAGACAAAAACGAGGTCTGGCATTGACAAATCATAACACATTCCAATATCTGTGGGGGAATTTGCACGCGCAGCAAACTGCCTTGCATCCCCCCCCCACAAACCTCATAACCTTTTGATACCCCCTTTTGACTTAATATCTTACCTACCTAAATAAATAATATGCTTTAAGTTCCCCCTTATCTCTTCCTGTCTTTATCTCTTCTTGTCTTTATCAGTTCTTTTTCCTTTTCTAATTAACCTGTATTTGTTTTTACCTGCTCTCAGCAGGTAATATGTTACTAGAAAATAATTGCTTATATGAAGGAATTTTTCAATTACTTTATGTCAACAGCTAAAGATTAAACTTCTACATGTAAAATGTCAGCAGTTGATGGTAAAGCCTATGTATGTAAAAAGTATATAAGAAACAATAAACTCAGAGTTTGTCAAGCTGTGTTCTGCAGCTTCAAACCTCTGCTCAAGACATGCCTGAGTCTTTTTCTTAGCATCGTTACAAATATCAAGTCAAAAGACATGGAAGAAAGAAGAATGGTACCCAGAAAGTATTATATAGATGTACGGACTTGTTACTTGGGCAGAAGATGGAATGTATGGGTATAGAGCTCTTGTTTATATGCTTAATAGTATTATTAGACTGCAAGCTGTATTAGAAATAATTACAAATGAGACAGCCTTGGCTTTAAATTTGCTCACTAAAAGCAACACCCAGTTATGTACAGCAGTGTATCAAAACCGCCTGGCTTTGGATTATTTATTAGCAAAAGAAGGAGGTGTTTGTGGAAAGTTCAGTCTGACAAACTGTTGCCTCCAGATTGAAGACCAGGGAAAAGTAATCGAGGAAATCACTGATCGTATGAGGAAAAGAGCCCGTGTCCTGGTTCAAATCTGGACAGGTGTCATGGACACAAGCTGGTTTGGAGAGATCTTTAGTGATTGGCAAAGGATAGTTTTTCTGATTGCATTAGCTTTTGGAGATCTTCTGGTTTTGCCATGTTTGATTCCTGTTATCCAAAGAACAGTTACCTCTACCATCTTGGGGATGACGGTCATAGCATCCTCTGTAAGGAATGACAAACCCCATAAGCCAGCCAAAGTCCTGACTCTCACTGCAATACTGAAGGAATATACATCATTGGTTACTAAGTAACAGAAAGCATTTTGTTGCAAAATTAAAAAGGGAGGAATGTGGGGTTTTGTAACTGGAACTAGAAAAAGAAACAAATTGTGTAGCCTTTCCTAACTATTGCTATCTTGCTTCTGTAATCAGCATTTGTGTCAGGGACCAATTTCATGCAAGCATGGGAAGCAAGTACATGGATGTAATGTACTGAGGAGGGAATAAGGACGTGTACAGGAATGATTGATGTCTTCTTTATATGATAATAACTCTATTGTCTGATGTTGATTGGCTAACAAAGTTTATAAAGTGATGCCATTAACTTTCTAAGGTGTGGCACTTCTGAATGCAACTGCTGCCAGTGTTCAGATTGTGTTCCCACCCAGGACTTAATTTGATCGAATAAAAAGTACTGTCTCTTTAAGAAGCCTGTGCTTGAGTCTTCCATGATATTAAACCTGTGATATCTCAGGTTTAATCAAGGGCCAGTGACCTTAGAGAGAGAAGTAAGCAGTGAGGTAGAACAGGGTTTTGTCTTAGGCCCAGTACTCTTCAATATCTTCATAAATGACCTAGATGAGGGGATAGAAATTTGCAGATGACACTAAACTGGCAGGAATAGCCAACACCCCAGAAGACAAGCTCCGGATCCAAAATGATATTGACAAACTTGAACCCTATCCAACAAAATGGGCCCTATCCAACAAAATGGGCCCTATCCAACAAAATGAATTTTAATGTGGAGAAAAGCAAATTATTACATTTAGGCAGGAAAAATCAAAGGTATAAGTACAGATTAGGCAAGACCTGGCTCAAAAACAGTAACTGTGAGAGGGACCTTGGAGTCCTAGTAAATGATCGCTTGACTATGAGCCAGCAGTGTGTAGCAGCAGCCAAAAAAGCTAATACAATCCTGGGTTGTATAAACACAGACATAAAATCAAGATCACACAAAGTATTAGTACTGCTTTATAAAACCTTAGTAAGACCACATCTGGAATACTGCAACCAATTTTGGTCACTATACTACAAACGATCAAAGGCCTGAAGACTAAAACATATGAAGAACAGCTGCAGGAACTAGGTTTGGCTAGTCCACAGGTAGCAACCTATGGCTCTGGAGCCGCATGCGGCTCTTTCATCCTTCTACTGTGGCTCCCAGTCCTCCTCTGCCATTTGCAGTGCCACAAAAGAAAGAAGTGGGACTAAAAAAGTTCAATCAATCAACTTCGCGAGATCTTTTTTTCCCTGTGAGAAGTTGGAATTGATTGGTTGAACTTTTTTAGTCCCACTTCTTTTATTTTTGGGACTGGCCACAAACTTCTCTTCTTTTTGGGACTGCACGTGGTGGTGGAGGAAGAGACAGAGGACTACGGAGGTGGACCTGGAAAGAAGGTGCCACGTGGGTTTGATCGGGGATACGGGGGGGGGGGTTCTGCCAAGCTTATACGGAACTGGGGAAATGGGCTGGGTGGGGGGACCTGCCAATGCCACTGCCATGAGGCTTTGCAGAGCCCCCCGAGTGGCCATGATCTCCCCTCCCCAGCCAGCCAGCCACCATTGCCGATCTTCTCCTCACCTGGCCAGCTGGCCTCATGCTCTTCTCCTCCACCTCCTCATCCTCTGCACTCAGTCGTCTGCTAGCGTTTTGGGTGGCTCTGCTCCATCCGAGTTGAAGAAAGCTGCTTTCTGCTATGTCTCTGCTTTCTTCAACTTGGATGGAGCAGAGCCACCCAAGCCGCTAGCAGCCGATTGAGTGCAGAGGAGGAGGAGGAGGAAGAGAAGAATGTGAGGATGGCTGGCCAGGTGAGAAGATTGACGATGGTGGCTGGCTGGCTGGAGAGGGGGGATCATGGTGTGTATGTGAGAGAGAGAGAGAGAAAGAGAGAGAGAAAATTTGAATATATGTTTGATTTTTTTAAATTAAGAGATGAGGTATGGTGATAATTATGCTGTATTTAAAGATGGTAGATAAGCTACTAAAATTGTTTTTATCTGTTGGGATGAAGGAGAAAGTTTTTTTTCCCCTCTTTCTCCTGTCCTTTTCTCTCTCCCCCCCACAATTTGTTTCTTTTCTATTTTTCTATTTGTAGTTTTTATAGTTTGCACCGGCTTTTTATTTCATAAATACAAGGAGGACTCAAATAGACATTGAGTATTTTATTTGAAAGTAACCTTTGATCCAGCGTCTTTTTTTGGGGGGAGTTCAAAATGTTTTTGTTGCACGCAGAAATAAAAATTTGTTTTTCTTGTAGCAGTTCATTGATTTCATAAATGCAACACACTACAGTTTTTTTATACATAGCATAAAGGTAAAAAATGATATCTGCAGTGTTATCATCATTTTACATGTCAAAAGGGTTTTGTGGCTCCCAGTGTTTTCTTTTCTGTGGTAAACTGGTCCAAATGGTTGCCGACCCCTGGGCTAGTCTAAAGAAAAGAAGAAACAGGGGTGACATGATATCAGTATTCCAGTATTTGAGGGGCTGCCATAAAGAAGAGGGCATCAAACTATTTTCCAAAGGGCATGAAAAGAAACAACCGTTGGAAACTATACAAAAAGAGAAGAAACCTGGAATTAAGGAGAAACTTCCTAACAGTGAGGACAATTAACCAATGGAATAGCTTCAGAAATCATGGGTGCTCCATCACAGGAGGTTTTTAAGAATAGTCTAGACCCATGGTGACCCATGGTGCAGAACCGTCCCTGTGGGCACATGTGCCATCACCCCAGAGGGATGCGGGGCTAGGCTTCTCCCCTCCCCCTCTTCACATGTGCCAGCGCTCTTGCTCTCTTTCTCTGCACCGGGAGTCAGGGAGCAGCTGCAAGAGCTGGGCAGGGAGAGGGGAGAAGCCAGAAGCGGCACAGAGAAAGAGGTGTCGAGACGAGCTCAAGGGCCAGGGAGGGAATGGGGAAAAAGATCGTTCTTGCTACGATCTCCCTTCTGCTCGCCACTGGGAAGCCTGGTGGCACAGCTTGGCATGGCTACACAGGGAAACTCCAGTGCCCTGGACTTGAAAGTGAGTTTCAGCGCTCCCCAGGTTTTAGTGCAGCAATGGGACGCAATTCAGCAAAGTGCTGAGTTCTCTTCATGTGAGTTTGTGGTGCCTTCATGAGAGTGGCTGCTCCCCTCCACCTTCCCGTCTCCCCTTAGCTAAGGGGCACTTTGGCATGGGCAGTTGGGGAAGGGGAGGGCTGGCTTCTCTCAGGGGGCACATTGGACGCACATTGGAAGGGAACCTCTGAGTTGGGGGCAGCCAAAGTTAGCCCTCCACTTGGGAGAGGAGCTCTTTCCTTTCTGCACAGAGTAACTTCTGCAACAAAACTCTGCAGGGGTGAGAATTGCAGAGTTTAAGTGATAAGTAAAATGTGCAAGATGATCGAAAGCCCTTCTTAAGATTTTAGGGGGGGCAATGGAGGGGGAGAAGGTGGTGCGGAAAGTTTGGTGGATGTTGTTAAGAAGTGAATGAACGACTTCAATTCCAGAATCTCCAGAATCACATGAAAACATGTGCAATATCTGGAGTGTGGGTTGGAAAAGGGTGGGCTATTCTTTTATTCTTTTGTGAGTGGAGGAAATTGGGGAAAAAGGCGGCGGGAGAAGTTTAACCAGGGTAAAGGAATAATCTATATGTTGAGGAATTCGACTTTGGAAATGGTATTGAAATACACACCCTTGGATAGCAGAAAGCATTTCTGTCTCTCCTCCCCCCCCCAAACTGGGATAAAAATAATTGATAAAAGCAAATTTTGGCATTATTTTACTCCAGTGGCCAATCAGATGCAGAGGGAAACTAAAACTGGACAAGAAACCAACAATAACTCTCCATTCTGTGTATAGAAGGTGTAGTTTTGTATAAGGAGAAGAAAGATAAAATTAATAATACATGCTGGATAAACCAGTACTGTAAACTCCAACTGTACTTGCAGTGTGACAGTAGTTAAATCAGTGGTGCCACATTTCAAAGTTACAGTTAGAGTACTCCGATTGCAGCTGCTTTCTTGCAGGTATGTGGAATGGTGTGGGACCCACAGGTTTTGCAAAGTGAAGAGAGGAAGTTGTTACAGCTTATTAGGAAAGATAAAATAGTCAACCAAGAATGCTTTATTAACCATTCTTCATCCAGATTTTATATCAGTTGCATCTGCTAATACAGGTGTTCTGAGACACTCTTCTGTTTTAACTTGTTTTCCTTGTTGCTTCTTAGAATTTTCATCCTGCTTTTGTGACAGGGTAGCATTTGGGAGGGAGTGTAGCTGCCCCCTTCCCCTCCAAGCCATCAGCTAAGCAAGATGCCCACCTGTCCACACTCTTTCCCCTGCCCGAGGCTTTCGTTGTCATGAGTGTTGTGTCCTGAGCCTGCAAAGGCAGGGTCGGGACATTGCAATGGTCCCGGGCAGTTGCAAGCTGCCCGGGACCAGACTGGGTGGCGCCGGCTTCGCGCGCATGCGCAAGGTGCAGAAGTGCGCCTAAATGTTACCTTTTTGCCCAGGGATGCTATTAAAGAAGTCAGAGAGGCCTGCGAGACTCAGAGCTGTGACGGAGAGAGAACTACTTTAAATAAAGGGCTGTTGGAATTACAGAATGTGCTGTATTCATTCGCCGTTGACTCAAGGACTCAACACTGCCAATGAACGTGGGCTGGCTTACAAAAACAAAAAAGAAGAATTGTAAGCTTACCCAAGAGTCCTGGAGAGAGGAAGACGGCATTAAACTCAGCACCTGGCCTGCCAGTAAAACGTCGCTGGAGGTAAGCTGGCTGATAGACCCCTTCCTAACAAAGAAGCAAGAATGGCGAAGATAGGGAGACTGTCTGAATTCGATGTCACGCTCCCAGAATGATGGGAGTCTTATGTTGCCAGAGTAAAAAATTACTTTAGAGTAAATCAAGTAAGAGAAGATGGCTTGAAGGCCACTACTTTGCTGTGTGTCTGTGGTCAAGATGCATTTGAAATTGCTGAAAATTTGGCAGCCCCTGCTCCTCTTGAATCTGTCACTTATACAGATTTAAAAAAATTATTGAAGGAACATTTTCAGCCCAAATTGTTTGTTATTGCGTGGAGACACACTTTTGAACAGAGGGATTTTTGCTGCACATGGGCTCCCAGATGTCCTGGTGTCTGACAATGGTCCTCAATTCACTTCTTTCAAGGTTCAGGCTTTCTTGCAGGCCAACATGATTTGTCATGCCACCTCCGCACCATTCCACCCTTCCACCAATGGTATGGCTGAACGGATGGTCTGCATCACCAAGGATGCTTTAAAGAAACTGACCTACAGGGACTGGCACCACAGGTTGGCAGACTTTCTTCTTGCTTACCGCACCACACCTTCAACTTCCACTGGGAAGAGCCCAGCTGAAATCCGTTGGGGGCACAAACTGATCACCAAACTTGACAGGTTGCACCCGGACAGACTGCCTCCTAAGGTCACCCAACCCCGGGCACCGCAGTGTCTGCAAGTGGGTGCCCCAGTATGGACCTGGAACTACGGGCCCGGTGGGTTGTGGGTTTCTGCTGTAGTATGCAAGGTTACTGGTTCATTGTCATATGAGGTCTCCTTGGACGACGGTCGTGTCCTTCGGCGGCATATCGATCAGCTGCATACGAGACTGGACTTACCCTCTGCAACTCCTGGGCTTTCTCCAGGGGGGGAGGGGCACCACTATGGGCAAAGGGAAGGGTGTTGGCAGCAGCCCGGGCCAAACGGAGATGCCGCAAATGGCCTGTTCCAAGGTTCCGCAAATGTTCCAAACAGGAATTCAAGGGAACAAGAAATCATACAGGCACCAGTGCCTACTCCAGCCAGGGAGTCACCCAGGGGGCATACTCATCATTCACAACTACCATTCAGTACTCCAGTCAGGGAGAATAACTGGCAGCATCCTAATAACGCAAACATTGCAAGAGAACTGGCACACAAACAGTCAAGTTGGCCCAGTACTGCTACTGCTTCCAAAAGGAAGTATACACACAGGGAGGTGGTCAGAGAGGAAAATCCCAATTCTGGCATCTCTGGCATAGATGGGGGGGGCAACTGAGTATTGGGGCACTGCAGAAACCCCAGACAATCTCGTTATGGGGCATGGGAGTGAAGGGATGCGTTCCCTTGATAGGTCCATTGTGGACTTGGAGGGCTCTACAGAAATGCCAAACAGTGGCAGGCATACAGAGGGGCCCGAGAGCCTACAATTAGGCAGGTCAACCAGGTTCATGGGGGAGCAAAGTCCTGGTCTGACGAGCTCGGTGGGCAAGCAAGCAGACCAGGCAACGGGACACAGTTCACAGGGACCACCAGGGTTTGAAAGAGGGGGCAACTCCACTTCATCCTCTGCACAAGAGGAAGTAGGGGGTTCTCCGAACCTGAGGAGGTCACAGAGAGTAAAAAGGTCTCCCAAGTATCTTGAGGACTTTGTAACTCTGCTGTTAAAGCAAGGAAAGTGAGAGGGTGCCTGCTGTTGTTGGAAAATGGGAGTGTGAGCATTGAGTAGTTAATTCCAAAACAATAGCCCAGTACCATTTGTGGTGTGGCTATTGCACAGCTGCAATAGATGTGCAGGTTTGGGGTTGGCACACCATGCTCGTGTTGAGGTCACGTATAACTACCTATATAGTTAATAAGTCTCATCCGGGGGGGAAGGGGTGTTGTGTCCTGAGCCTGCAAAGGCAGGCTCGGGATGTTGCAATGGTTCCGGGCAGTTGCAAGCTGCCCGGGACCAGACTGGGTGGTGACGGCTTCGCGCTCATGCGCGAGGCGCGGAAGCACACCTAAATGTTACCTTTTTGCCCGGGGATGCTATTAAAGGAGTCAGAGAGGCCTGCGAGCCTCAGAGCTGTGACAGAGAGAGAACTACTTTAAATAAAGGGCTGTTGGAATTACAGAATGTGCTGTATTCATTCGCCGTTGACTCAAGGACTTAACACTGAGCATTTCTGTTGAGGATGGGGGGGGCTGTTTGGTTTTTATTCCCCTCCCATCTGCTGGGAGGTTGCAGCAGGTTTTGGTCTCTTCTGTTGTGCTGTGAGGTTACCCACAAAGCATGTTTGTTTTGGGGGGGATCCCCACTCCAGTTGCTAAGCTTGCTGAAACCCTCTTCCTCCTCCTCCTCACCGGAGCCCCCCTTTGTCTGCAACCAGCCCTGCCCTGCCCTGCCTTGCCTTGCCTTACCTCGCCTTGCCCTATGGCAATGGCAACCCCACCCTTCCCCCTCCCTCGCCTCGCCTCACCCTGCAGGACAAGCCTCCTGCCCACCATCCCACTGCCTGGATCTCCCCCAACCCTGCCCGGCCCCCCACAGGCATCCCTCCCCAGGAGCAACACCGAGGTGGCCATGCCCACCCTGGTCTTGCCCACCCAGTCAGCCATGACTACTATAGCCATGCCCACTCTGTGGGCCACGCCCACCCCATGGGCCATACTCACCCAGCACCTGTTGATACATAAGTGGGTTTTGGGTTGCAGTTTGGGCACTCGGTCTCTAAAAGGTTCACCATCACTGCATTAGTTCATTCAGCCACACGATTGGTACATGGATGAAAACTGGAACTGAGACCTTGTAATGATGCTATTGATTGGATGGACTCTCTCCAAAATCTTGCAGTGAATTGTAACCCTCGGTCTGATATGATTGGTTAGGCACTCCATGCAGCCTGTAAGTATGCTGCACAAACATCTTGGCTAACTTCCTAGCTGAGAGAAGCTTTGGACAAGCTACGAAGTGTGCTTGTTTGGAAAATAAATCAATGTCCACATTACAGTATTTTTGCCACTCTCCAGTAATTCCACTATTAAATCCATTGCTATTTCTTCCCAGGGTCTTCTAGGGTCAGCCACTGGTTGTAATAAACATAGGGGTTTCTCAGGTAATTGCTTCATGGATGCACAAACCGAGCAACTAGCCATATAGTCTTTTATATTCTTTTTCATTTTTGGCCACCAAAATTGTCTTTTCACGAGATGAAAAGTTTTTACAAACCCAAAATGCCCAGCAGATTTTGCATTATGTGCTCAGTTTAACAACACTGTCCTTTGGCTTGCTCACATCCCTGAGGGGGTCTCTCCTGGTCCCAGTAACACTCTTACTTCCTCAACTGGCTGGCCATTTTTCACCTGCAGAATGAGGTTGAAGAACTCTACCAGTATGCTGTCAGTAATCCATTAAATCTAACTCTACCTCAGTAGTTAATTGGTACCAGTCAACAGAGGAGATGGGACACCCCTCTGGGTAGACAGTTGTAATACAGTTCCTTGTTTAACCCATCTCAAAATTGGTAGATAACATGTGCTCTGGCCAACCTCTAACATGAGCGACCAAGCTACAAAATTTCCAAATATATTCAGCCACTGGTCTCTTCCCTTGCTTGATTGTCCGGACTCTTGCATTGGCCTTTCTTGCTTTGGTGGGATCTTCAAACAGGTTCTGTAGCTTTTGCATAAAGGCATCAACAACATGGAGCCCTTGGGCTGCCTCATAATAAAGTGACACCAACTACTCTGCTACTTCCCCTTCCAGATTCGCTTAAATAACATTCCTTCCCATTCCATCATTGGGGTATCTGTCTCCATACCTTTCTAAATAGTTTTACACCTGGGTCAGGAAATAAGCCAGGTTTTCTGATTTTCTGTCAAACATGACTTTAAAAAGCTTGGGATCTTCCCTCACCATTACATAGCCAGGTGGTAGACCTGCTCCTAGTAACACTGCCTAAGCCCCTCTCTGATCAATTGGCCAAGGGTCAGGTGGTGCCCCAACTTTTGTTGGGAAGTAGTAGCTGGAATACAGTCCCTCTGGTCCCCCCCACTCTGGGCAATTCTTGCCATCCTGGACCACAGGGAAGCTACTGGCTGTAGCAAAGATGGAATGGAATAATAGGGTAGTGAGCAGAACCCACTACTGACCACTTCAGTGAGGCAGCTCCTCAAACCTTCAATCTCCTGAACATCTCTCTCAATTGTTCCACAGAAAGGCTGTGAGCTGGCATAGGAAGTCTCCAATCCACTGGCTCTCCCTATTCTGCAGCCTTCTTGGACACCTTCATTGGCCAAGTCTCAGATAGAGCCAAAGGAAACTCAGCTTCTGTTGCCTCCCTGAGGCCACTCACCTATGTAGTTCATGGTGCCAGACAAGGAACTTCTGTATCTCTTCCTCCTTCAGTAGTTCGAATTGGCTCTAATGATCTAGCGTTCTGCTTCGGGTGAGCCCGCCCTGACAAGTCAGTCTCTCCTGTCTGGATTATAGGCACTGTCCTCAGGAGAGGAGCTTCTCCATGTGGCGACCCTCCATAGTTCTTCTTGTCCATTGTAGAATTCACAATATACCAGCACTCCTGGGAGATAAACCTAGGTAGGCTGCAAAGCATATGAGAGTTAGTTTAATATCAACCTCCAGCTCAGTTATCCAAATAAAAGTCCAGGGTTATTTTCATTTCTGAAAAGCTTACTGTTTATTGAATACATGGCCTGGTAAAGGTGAGGTAAAACTAATTCTAAAATCCCAAGGCATCAGAACATAGAATATAATAATGACTTTCCCAGACATCCCTCCCCCAGATGTCCATGTAGCTCATGTAAACCATTTCTCTTTGTTATACTATCTTCTTCACACCTGCTAGAATGTCTTTGAAAAAATTTCATACTGCCGACTCTGATCAAGCTTCCATAGAACTGGAGAGTTTTTGTTTCTTTATCTAACCCATTTGAAAGCAACACCTCCCCTCTCTTACTCTAATGGCAAGATGAAAACAGAGAGGCATGTAGCTGCCAATTTTTCACCCTTGACAAATAAGCTATAGTCCATACTGAGCAATGACACTGCACTTTTGTAGGCACTGTAGTCCCCTATTTGCATACTGACAACCATCCAACCTGAAGTATATTCTCATAGAGAACAAGAAACAACAGGACAATTATACTATGAGGGCAATTCAGAAATAAACCTCCATTTGAGCATGTGCAAGAAATAGGTGGGGATAGCGATGCCCGTCCTATGATGTCCTGCACAGTTGTTCAGTACGTAGTGAGGAGTGGAAGGAGAAGGTTGTGTTGCAGTTGACTTGTCTGCTAGATCAATTGAAAATGAACCCTGCCATAGAAAATCCTGCCAGATGTGAAGATGCCAAAGGAGTACTGCTAGTGAAGTTTATGGAGCGTGGTTCGACCATCAATTCAGAAGTCTACTGTGAAATGTTACAAAAGCCATCCATAACAAGCATCAGGGCATGCTGACTTCCAGTGTGGTTGTAAGGACCCACCCCACTTTGCATCTTAAGAAGACAGAACTCTTGGAATAATTCTTCCAACAGGAATCCTTTATTAAGAAGAAGTGGTTGCAGGCGTGCTAGACAGGACTTGGGGTCCAAGCTCTCCCATTCAAGGTTTTAAGGGGTTCCCCAGCAGTTCCACCCAATCACCCCCCCTTCCAGTGATAGTTTCAGGCATCACAATTCCACCCCTTTGTTCCTTTCTTCCGTCTGGATGGAGATTTCAGATAAACTACATGAAAGGTAAATAGCCCCCTTTGTTATGGTAAGGTTCTTTGGTGCTATTTACATTCAAACTCTTTGAGGTTGCAATAAACACATTCAATTCCTTAGAAGTATACTGAAGGAAGTGAGGGCCATAAAGCCCCTTTGTTCTCCCCCTTCTCTCCCTCTTATGGCAGAATCCAGAGAAGGCAGAATTGGGGTTTTCTATATTTGATGATTAAAGATGAAATATAATTGGATTCTGACAGTGGTGTTGATTCACAATAATGCTCTCCCATACATTGCTAGATGTACCCAAGAATTTTTGAAGCAGTTTCTTTGGGATGTTTTTGATCAATCCCTTATAGCCCAGATTTTGCACTGAGCGACTACTACTAAGGAATTTCAAACCTTGTAAGATGTTATGACAAATGTCTCAGTTTGAATGATGATTATGTTGATAAGTAATGTAATGTTGTAGTTTTCTAATGTGTATAATTAAAATTCAGTATCTGTGAGTGTCTGTCATTGATAACCAAACAGAGGTTTATTTCTGAATTACCCTCATATATAGATAGCCTGCAACAACAGAAACTGCAACAAACCCTGGGGTCTACTTTGCTCCTATATTTGCAAAAATAACACCATTACTGGCCCTTACAGCTTTTCACACAAGATTAGAGACAATTCATATGTCCCTCTGGATTCTATGTAAGACAAACAGGGCAAACTTTGTGTAAAATAACTAATGGACAGAAATTGATATAAGGATTCAAAACAAAGGCTACCTAACCTCAGAACATTTCAGTTTCCCAGGATCCTCCATGACAGATCTTAAAGTAAGCATTACTAACACAATTCAGTGACAGATTAATCAAAATACCTATATGTAAGATCTTTCAACACAAGTGTTTTCTAAGAAGCACATACTTAAAACACACAATCTAGATCACAGTGTTTCCTGGAGTTAGATTTCAGCAGTTTTGAGGCTGTATTGTAGCTATAAGACTGAAGAACTGTTTATGGAGGAGGTAACCATGGAGACAAATATTTCAAAGGAGGGGAGCTGTCAGGAAAAACTATTCAATAAACAAAATTATACATAATATGCTTACGCTATTATAAGTGTCAGTGATGGGAAGAAGAGGACACCAATGATTGCATGTATTTAAAAGGAAGAAATCTGGAAGCAAAGAGGGGACTGGCTTAGTAGAAAATTATTCTGCACCAAATGTCAGATTGGGGAATTAATCATCTTTATTCTGCTTGCTTTTTTAATCTTAGAAGCATATCTGCACTAGCACATTTACATTAGCACATCTGGACTAGTTAGGCAACCAGTTAGGAAACTGGTATAGCCTAGGCTTCATATCACATTCTTTTCTGATTGCCAGAAGTGGTATTATATCTGGTTCCTTTTTCTGAAAGTTTACAGCAATGAAAAGGGTGAATTGCTTGGGTTCAACAGACCATCTCACACTTCCCCATCTCAATTACCATTAGTCTATCCCTTCATTATGGAAATATTTTCTATTTCTTAATATTTTCTTAATACTTTATTAACAGAAGCCTTCTCTGTAGTCTAGATTGTGTTAGCTGTTTGCTTTCCCAAAGCCTTCCACTATTCTAAAATTTTAACGCCAAGTAAAATGCAATGAAAAGGCCAAACAAAAAAGAAGGAAACAGACTATAGATAACTGTTAAATTTGTTCCACTGTTTTTCTTTTGAAAGTAAATTAAATCCAACACAATGTCAAGTTCTCTCTTACTCCCTTTCCTCTGCTTTTTGCTTTAATGGCACCCAAATTACTTGGTGTGCATATGCACACACAGTTGTTTCTACACAGTGCCTAAATTCTTTATTTATGTATTTTTGAGTCAATAATGAGATGTATGCTAAAATTTATAGAGGAAAACTAGAAGTTTATTTTTATCCTGGCCACAAACCACAGCAGAAATGCCAAAAATAAATATATGTTTAAAATACACTAACAAATAAAATAAATGAAATAAAATAAGCTGAAGTATGACAAAAGGAAGAATATGTGAACAGATAAATGTACATCTGTGAGCTACTCATCCTGCAACATTATTTCATTTTATGCGTCCACTTTTCTTAATTCTCTCCAAGGATTTAGATCAGGAAAATATCCCTGGGAATTGGTCCTTGGGGTGTCTTAATATAATGATTACATTTTATTAAAATATGAAACCAAAATAATGTACCTTTATGAATATTAGAGGGCTATGATTTTTCAATATTAAAATATATATTAGTAGATGTATGTGAGATGGTTGTATTACATATGAGATTTTGGCACATTCTGTGGTGATCTCATTCATGTTTTATCAATTGTTTTAATTGTTTTATTCTATATTGCTTAAAAATGTATATAAATTTGATTGATTCATTAGTGAAAAGTCCTGGTAAGGCTGAATAATACTGATTGCATATCAGCATGCAATTAAGAAAAGTTCGCTGTAGAAAACTAAGTTTGTTTTTCCCAAAAGAAGAGTCCAAGAGAGAAGGAAATATATGAGAAATATGAGGGTAGTAAGGATTATTGGATAACCACTGCTGGTATCAAATCCTTGCCTGGATTGAACATTTCATTTCATCTATTTGCAATCATAACTTCCCTCATTCATGAAGTAAGTAGCCTTTGACAAATTCTTCTCTATTTTCTTCTGTCCTCCTGGAACAATATTGATCTGCTTTAAAAGGTCAATAGTCCCGCAGTACTATAATGCAATCAAAATAGATTGGTGGTACAGACTTCCTCGATGAAATTTCTGCAGTCCATGGAAACCTGAACCCTATTCTTTTTCTCAGCTTGATAATTAGTTCTTGGATGTCATGATGGCCTTACAGAAATTCTTACAGAATAACAGAGTTGGAAGGGATCTTATAGGTCATCTAGTCCAACCCCCTGCTCAAGCAGGAGACCCTATTCCATTTCTGACAAGTGGCTGTTCAGTCTCTTCTTGAAAGCCTCCAGTGATGGAGCACCCACAACATCTAAGTGATGTGCTTAAACTGATGCTTGCTAACTCTCATTTTTAGCAGTCTAACTGTGTCACATGTATATCCTACTTCAGACTTGATGAGTTACACATTGCATGACCTATTTGAATAAAGACCTGAGGAGCAATGATTGTCCCAGTCCCTTATTTTCAATTACTATTAAGGATGAAATCTTGATATTTTCTATACCAGGCGATGTGAAAGCTTCATTCCATAAAAAGTATAAAACTGTGTCTTATCTCAGATTTAAATTGGAAATGTATTTGCTACTGAGTGGGCATAGCAAGCCACAAGGGTTTACTTATTTGTGAAATCTGCACTGAAAGCAGATTTCTCAGGCACTACTTAATTTTATGTTGTTGTAAGTCATTAATAAACTTCCCACCAGGTAATTGTCATCAACCAATGGCCTAGAACAAAATGATCAAATTTTGACTCCCTTCTTGAGCTGAAATACAACATTACTATCAGTGATAGACAGGTTTTTGTCCATGCTGGGAATCTATTTTGGATTCTTTTGGATCATGCCAAGAAATGAGTATGCAAAACATCATATCTCCTCTTTTCTTAGAAACAGACTTCCTTTGAAAAACTGCTGGAGTTAAAATAAAATAAAATAATAAAATAACTGGCAATAGAAAAGGGAAGTATATTGCTAAGAAAAGCCCTAATATTTTTTTATAGCAGACTTCCTCAATATGGTATGTATCAGATGTGTTGGAGTACAACCTATGCTGGGACTGTGGGGTAAGGATTGGGCAACTTTTAAGCACCATATCTGAGAAAACAGATTGGGCTCGATCAATTTTTCTTTTTTGCTTTTTATATTACCAGAGCACCAGATAGATACACAATACAACTTCAGCATGAACAGTCTTATCCAGGGGCTATCATTTTTTTTTTTAAGCTTACAAGGAAAAAAAAGGTATGTATATATTTATACAGCTTAAAGGCTGGCCATCTCCTAAAGATGCTGGATAGTTTCAGAAGGTAAGAACAATATATAAAAACATAAAAGAAACCACAAGCAAACATAAAGATATAAACCATACAGATGTAAACATCACCCTGCCCCACAGCCTGGGGAAACAGCCAAGTCTTTATTAGTTTTCTGAAGGTCACCAAGACTTAATTCTCACAAACAGAGAAGAAGCATAGAGGGCGTTGAAACTGCAGGAACCTTGGGTGAGAGTGACCATATCATACTGGAATTCAATATAATGGAAACACAAGCAATAGAACATAATGATATTAGAGTCTTAGATTTTAAAAGAGTTGATTTTAACGAACTCAGAGAGAGCTTGGGAAAGATTCCTTGGATGAAAATCCTAAATGGGAAAACAACTCAAGAAGCTTGGGAAACTCTGAAATATATGATCATAAAAGCCCATTCCAGCACAATACCACTGAAAAAGAAACAAGAAATCTAAGAAAAATTCAGCATGGTTGCACGAAGATCTCTCTGATAAACTGAAAGACAAAGAAAACAAGTACAAAAAATGGAAAGAGGGACACATAACTAAGGCTGATTATTAGCAGACAGCAAGAACATGCAAAGATGAAGTCAGGAAAGGCTCAGAATGAATGAAGACTTGCAACAAAAGTCAAAAATAATTAAAAAAGCTTCTTTCAACATATAAATAACACGAAAAAAATCAAGGAAATGCTCTACTAAAGAGAGAAGACAGCAAGGAAGTAAAAGGCAGCAGAGAGAAAGCAGAGCTGCTTAATGCATTCTTTGTATCAGTTTTCATGCCAAAGAAATTATAGCCCAGCCTACAAAAACATAACTGTAAAAGATAGACTAGAAATAAAAGTTAAAATAAGCAAAAAAAATGGTAAGAGGACACCTGTCTGATCTTCATGAATATAAATCACTTGGACCTGATAGATTACATCCCAGAGTTCTAAAGGAGCTTGCAGATGCCATTTCAGAACCATTGTACCATATCTTTCAAAAATCATGGAGCACTGAGGAAGTACCAGATGACTGGAAAGAGGCTGATATGGTTCCCATCTTCAAAAAAAGGAGGGGGAAAGACAGACCCAGGAAACTACAGACCAATCAGTTTAACTTCAATACCTGGGGAAATCCTGGAAAAGATTAAAAAAAAAAAAACAGATCAGCAAATAACTAGAAGCAAACAAAGTTATAACTGGTAGCCAGCATGGGTTTCTTAAAAACAGATCATGCCAAAACAATCTTATGTTGCCTCGTCTTGACACACAATTAACTGAATCAAACTCACCACGTCAGGAACGAAGAACTTTCAAATTTTATTTAGTAAAGTAATGAATTAAAGTCAGCACTGACAACCATTACACTCATGGCCCTTTTATACAGTTAACACAAGACCCCGCCTAACCCACACCCATTCTACCACCCATGCGCCACCACCCACATCCAGACCACCCAACACCCCTATATGGCAATACATCCGATTACCATGACCTGCAGCAGCTGCCCCCTAACGCATCCCGGCGCCGCGGCCGCTTCCCGACGCTTCGGCCGCTTCCCGATGCTTCTACAGCCTACCAGCCCCCATTAGTAAACGCAGCTTCCATTTAATGTCCTCACAGTCAGGGTTACCGACTGCGCATGCGACATGCCGTCCAGGGTATTCCTTACGCATGCGCGGCTCCGGCATCTCCATCTGAGCGTCGGAATGGCTTCCGCGCATGCGCGCCGGCCAGCTGGTTGTCGGGCCGGTCTGGGCGTCAGAATGGCTTCTGCGCATGTGCGCCGGCCAGCTGGTTGTCGGGCCGGTCTGGGCGTCAGAATGGCTTCTGCGCATGCGCGCCGATCAGCCGGATGTCGGGCCGGTCGGATGCCGTTCCATGCGGTAGAGGCTTCGCTGGGGTAAGTAAGCCGGACGGCCTCTCCTATGGCCCGACATACTGCCCCCCTTTCACCAGGGCTCCCCCTAGGAAAAAGAGAAGACATGTTATATCGTTTCCTTCGCCCCCCTTCCAACCTCCCCTGCCCTACTTGGCTTCGGTTTCTCAGGATTGTGGGCATGGAAGTGTTTAACCAATCGAGGGGCCCTTACGTCATCTACCCGTACCCACGTAGCGTCAGATAAAGGGTAACCCTTCCACCTAACCAAATAATACAATTTATTTCTCTTAATACAGGAGTCAAGTATTTCCTGTACCTCATAATCACCATTACCAACAGGGCCTGGTTCAGTTTCTTTTTGATACATATAAACTGGCTTTATCAAGCTGCAATGAAACACCGGATGTACTTTCCCCAACATCCGGGGTAGCTGTAACCGTACAGTGACTGGATTAACGATCTTAACAATCTTAAATGGGCCAATGTATTTAGGTCCTAATTTTCTGCATGGAACTTTCAGCTTCAGATATTTGGTGGACAAATAAACGAATTGACCCACAATGAATGGTTTGCAGGGCTGCCGTTTTTTGTCTGCCTGCTCTTTCATTTTCCGCCCATATTCTACCAGCGCTGTTTTTACAGCCGTCCATGCTCCGGAAACCCTTTGGACCCATTCTTGTGGAATATATCGCTGCGTCTCCATATTTCCTATATCAGAACGGGTGCTTACCCTACCTACTCCCTGTGTATATGGTAGTAATATAGCCTGTACCAGCTCCTCCCTTTGGCTCTCGTACTGGGGCAATCTAGATAAAGCGTCCGCCAAGAAATTACGACCCCCAGGAACGTATTTAAGCTGGAATGTAAATCGTTTAAAATATTGCGCCCATCTCACATGTTTCGGGGCTAAACGTCGGGGCGATTGCAGTACCGCTAAATTTTTATGGTCCGTCCATATTTCTATCTCCCGTTTAGCCCCTTCCAAAAGATGTCGCCACGTTACCAAGGCCCATTTGATAGCAAAGGCCTCCTTCTCCCATATCGCCCATCTCCTCTCCTCTCTGACTTACTGTTGCCTCGTCTTGACGCACAATTAACTGAATCAAACTCACCACGTCAGGAATGAAGAACTTTCAAATTTTATTTAGTAAAGTAATGAATTAAAGTCAGCACTGACAACCATTACACTCATGGCCCTTTTATACAGTTAACACAAGACTCCGCCTAACTCACACCCATTCTACCACCCATGCGCCACCACCCACATCCGGACCACCCAACGCCCCTATATGGCAATACATCCGATTACCATGACCTGCAGCAGCTGCCCCCTAACGCATCCCGGCGCCGCGGCCGCTTCCCGACACTTTGGCCGCTTCCCGATGCTTCTACAGCCTACCAGCCCCCATTAGGAAACGCAGCTTCCGTTTAATGTCCTCACAGTCAGGGTTACCGACTGCGCATGCGGCATGCCGTCCAGGGTATTCCTTACGCATGCGCGGCTCCGGCATCTCCATCTGAGCGTCGGAATGGCTTCTGCGCATGCGCGCCGGCCAGCTGGTTGTCGGGCCGGTCTGGGCGTCAGAATGGCTTCTGCGCATGCGCGCCGATCAGCCGGATGTCGGGCCGGTCGGACGCCGTTCCATGCGGTAGAGGCTTCACTGGGGTAAGTAAGCCGGACGGCCTCTCCTACGGCCCGACATCTTATTTCATTCTTTGACAAAGTAAATTAGTAGACCAGCAAAATGCTGTGGACATAGTTGTTGTGTCCTGAGCCTGCAAAGGCAGGCTCGGGATGTTGCAACAGTCCCGGGCAGTTGCAAGCTGCCCGGGACCAGACTGGCTGGCGCCGGCTTCGCGCACATGCGCGAGGCGCGGAGCGCGCCAAATGTTGCTATTTGGTCCGGGGAAGCGTTCTTAAGAGAGGCAGAGAGGCCTGCGTGCCTCAGAGCTGTAACGGAGCAGAAGAGATAACAATAAAGGCTTCTTGACACTACGAGATGCTCTGTGCTTATTCGCCATTAAGCCGAGGACTCAACACTGGCGACGAAGGTGGGATGCCTTACAATTAATTAAGAAGAATTGTAAGCTTACCCAGGAGTCCTGAGAGCAGCTAGGAAGACGGCATTAAATTCAGCACCTGCCTGCCAGTACAGCGTCGCTGGAGGTAAGCTGGCTGATAGACCCTTTCCTTACACAGGAGAAAATGGTGAAAATAGGGAGACTCTTTGAATTTGATGTCATGCACCCAGAAAGATGGGAGTCATATGTGGCCAGAGTAGAAAACTACTTGAAAGTAAACCAAGTAAGAGAAGATGGCTTAAAGGCCGCTACTTTGCTCTGTGTTTGTGGTCAAGATGCATTTGAAATTGCTGAAAATTTAGCAGCCCCTGCGCCTCTTGAATCTGTAACCTACACAGATTTAAAAAAATTACTAAAAGAATATTTTCAGCTCAAGTTGTCTGTTATTGCATGGAGGCATACTTTTGAACAGAGGGATCAACGAGCTGGTGAATCAGCTAAAGAATACATTGCAACTTTGAGAAGAGCAGCTAAGCCTTGTGAGTTTAAAGACTTAGAAGAAAGGTTGAGAGACAGATTTGTATGTGGGCTTAGAAACAGAGACTTTCAGCAGAGACTTTTTGCTAAGGAAGACATATTGTTCTAAGATGCCTTGAGAGAGGTTACTGCAGAAGAGGCAGCAGGTGGGGCAATCAAGAATATGAGGCCTATCAGAAGCACTCCAGAAGCTGTTTCCAGGCACCATGAGGGAGTCCAGGAGAGTTCAGAAGAGGATCCTGAAGAAGAGCTGGATCATCTCTACCCAGCCAAAGAAAGGAAGCAGAAGGAAGGCAAAGAAAAGTCTTCAGCTGTACCCAAGTGCTTCGGGTGTGGAGGTCGCCACAAGAGGACCGACTGCAGGTTCCGTTCTGCAATCTGTAGAGTATGTGGAAAGCAAGGCCACATAGCAGCTGTGTGTCTGGGCCGTCAGAAGGTACAACCCCGAGAAGAATTGCACCTGAAAGGTACCAGGGTCCCCAGCCAAAACAGGGTGGGTTTCTGTGCTTCACGAAGAAGCATTTATAGGACAGGCACACACAGGCCACTCAAAAAGAAACTGTCACTTAAACTGAAGTTGCAAGGAGTTCTATTGGTTATGGAACTAGACACTGGGTCTGCACTTTCAATTATTTCCATTCACACATTCAGAAAGATTTGCTCTAGCAGTGGGTTCCAGGCCAAGCTTAGGCCATCCAATATAGTTCTAACAGACTTTCAAAACTACAAAGTGTGTGTTAAGGGGGAGGCCACTCTTAACGTACAACATAAGGATTTTGAAGGTCCATTAGATGTATTGATAGTTGGGGGTGAGCGCACGAGTCTCATAGGACTCGATTGGTTTGAAGCCTTGAGAATACAAGTTACAGGACTTAATAGCTTGCAAACAGTAGGTCTACAAGAAGTCTGCAAAGAATTTGCAGATGTCTTCAGCCCATAGCTGGGTACATACAAAGGGCCCCCAGTTTCCTTAAAATTGGACCCCACTGTCACTCCTATCAGAGTAAAAGCAAGGAGAGTACCTTGTGCTTTAAAAGGAAAAATTGATGCTGAATTGGACAAATTGATTCAGCAAGGAGTCTTAGAACCTGTTGACTCCAGTCCTTGGGAAACTCCCATAGTCACGCCTCTTAAGGCTAATGGGGACATTCGCATCTGTGCAGATTACAAATGCACCCTAAATGAGGCATTGCAACAACATGCCTATCCTGTACATGTAGTCAGCCATATTCTGGCTTCCCTCAAGGGGGGGGGGGCGTATTTTTGCAAAGCTAGATTTAGCACAGGCTTATCAACAGTTACCTGTTGATGAAGTTGCTGCTGTAGCACAAACCATTGTAAAACACAGGGGGGCATTCAAAGTCAAAAGACTACAATTTGGAGTAAATGTGGCTCCTGGTATTTTCCAAAGCGTAATGGAAAATACCTTGAGGGGTATACCAGGGGTTTGCCCCTATTTTGATGATGTCTTAATAGCTGGAGACTCTACTCAAAATTTAGCTGAGAGATTGAGGGCTGTCCTGCTGCGGTTCCGGAAAACAGGCCTCAAGCTAAAAAAAGACAAGTATAAAATTGGGGTACCTTCTACAGATTTCCTGGGATTCAAAATAGATGCCAATGGGATTCATCCTGCTGAGTCCAAATTAAAAGCTATCATGCAAGCTCCTAGGCCTAAGTCCAAAGCTGAACTACAAGCTTTTCTGGGCCTCTTGAATTTCTATAATGCATTCATTCCTAACAAAGCTAATGTAGCTGAACCACTTCATAGGCTTCTGGACAAACAGGCAGTGTGGCAGTGGTCACAAGCACATGAAGCAAGCTTCAATGAGGTTAAGGCCTTACTCACATCCAATAATGTGCTTGCACATTTTAATGAAACTCTCCCTATGTGCATCGCTTGTGATGCTTCCCCTTATGGGGTGGGAGCAGTACTTAGCCATCTACAACCTGATGGAACTCGGGTTCCTGTTGCATATTACTCCAGAACCTTGTCTTCTGCTGAGCGAAACTACTCTCAGATAGACAGGGAAGCCTTGGCTGTTGTTGCAGGCATTAAAAAATTCCATGATTTTTTATATGGCAGACATTTCACGGTCTACACTGACCACAAGCCTTTGTTGGGTTTGTTTACTACAAACAAACAAACCCCCCCATATCATCTCCCCCAGGAGCCTATGATTTTTCTTTAATTCACAAACCTGGCAAAGAAATGGGCCATGCTGATGGCCTCAGTAGATTACCCTTACAAGTAGTGGAGGCTGATCCTGCCCCTGCCATCAACATCCTTTCCATTCAGGCGCTGCCTGAGTCACCTTTAAATGCCAGGGATGTGGCTGCTGAATCAGCCACAGATCTTACACTCTCTCGTGTCTTATCCTGGGTTATGTCTGGATGGCCAGAGAGTTGTCCAGGTACTGAGTTTCAGAGTTTCTGGCTTAAGAAACATGAGTTATCCACTTTTCAGGGTTGCCTGCTGTGGGGCAGCAGAGTTGTTATTCCTACCTCAATGAGGTCTAGGGTCTTAGGTTCCCTTCATGAGGGCCATCCTGGCATTGTAAGAATGAAGGCGCTTGTGCGCAGCCATTTGTGGTGGCCTGGGTTAGACAAGGAAATTGAGGCTTGCCACCTTTGTCAGCGCTCATGCATAGGCTCATGTGCATAGATGGGAGGACACACAGTCACCTTGGTCTAGGGTGCACATCGATCACGCTGGGCTCTTTCAGGGTCAATTCTTCTTGGTCCTAGTTGATAGCTATTCAAAGTGGCTTGAGGTTGTACCTGTCTCTTCAACCACCACTGCCAACACCATTGAAGTACTGACGGGGATTTTTGCTGCACATGGGCTTCCGGATGTGTTGGTGTCTGACAATGGCCCTCAATTCACCTCTTCCGAATTCCAAGCTTTCTTACAGGCCAACATGATTCATCATGCCACCTCTGCACCATTCCACCCTTCCACCAACGGTATGGCTGAACGGATGGTCCGCATCACCAAGGATGCT